TTGATTGTATTTTGGAAAACAAAAACATACACTTAGCTAGAAAATACAAACAATTATTAAAATATCCTCACATAACTAAAGAAACAAAAAAATTCTCTTAAAAATTCCATTGTACATCTGCCTGTGTACGCGCGTTTATATATATATGTATATATGTGCACTTGAGTATATCTATATGCGTACATGCATGTATGTGTGCATATGTGCAAGCGTATAAATACAGGCATATGCACATAAATTCAAACAAATATTAAATAAAAATTTAATTATAAACCTAACCCCCTAGAATTAATGCTTCAAGTACGGACTTAAGATACCACCAAACCAAATGAGAAAGCTAAATAATAGCCAAGTGAAGTCATAAAAATATTTATCATTTAAGCATTAATGTCAATTATTTATGTAAAAAAAAAAACGAAATACAATTTTCTTAACTCAAGTAAAGACGAGAACGCTCAAAAAGTAAAAACTATAACATGTCTAAAGAAAAACAGGAAATAAATAGCAGCAAATAGCTACAATTGAAAGTAAAGAGGAAAAGGGAAAGAAGAGAAAAAGCTAAGGAGTGAATGTAAAGTGGAGAAAAAAAAACTAAGAAACGGTCAAATAATCACGACACCCTACACGTACTCACATCTACGCAGACGAGCGTACGCGCGGGAACGCATATCCGCACAGACGGACGCATGGCCGCACGCGCACAAACGCACACACGGGCACAAACGATATTTCACCAATGATAAGTGCATAAAAAAGAAAAATCGAAAAGTATGAGCAGTCAGTTTCTGATATCCCCTGAAGAATGAACTGATAGCTCCGTCTACGAAACTCTGGAGTCTGGATGCTGAAGCTAACATCACTTAGCTAAGTGACAAAGTTTTACTTATATATATATATATATATATATATATATATATATTATTTGTGTCTGTGTGTGGTCCAGTTGTTCCTAAAAAGAAGATAAAGTACTGGAAAAAGTGCAAAAATGCAAGTACTTAGGCCATTCATGTTCGGATAGCACTAAATAAAGACGGTGAAAATAATAAAATCACGTATAAAGAGAAGGTAAAAAGCATATGACAAAAATAGAGATATAATGAAAAGATCCTGCCCAATATATTTATTACGTAAAAAGAATAATTAATGTATAATGCCGGCGATGACGTATGGATGCAAAATTAAACAAAATCGTTAGAAAACAAAGAATAAAGAATGCACAAAGATCAGTTCTAATGACAATCCTAAGAGAGAAAGAGAGTAAGAGGGCGACATGGATCAACGAACAGACCAAGATAAAGAAATGGTCACATGATAAAAAACAAGTGGTTAGATTTGCGAATCGTCTCGCAAAATGCGGGTTGTCCCATTGTGCTTGATAACAGTTTATCCGCCATTTGACAGGTCTTGTTTTTTAATCTTGCTGATTATTTCTCCACACTCTTTACCAGCAAAGCCAGTTTGGGGGAGAATTGGTTTCATTACGCCGGTGATCCAACGATACAGAAGTTAGCATCAGTACACTTCCTTTTGGTGTGAGCAGAGCACTGTATGCATAGAAACCTAAATCAAACATATCTTTCTCACACTAGCGATCTTAACACATAAGATCTTTGACTATTTGCAGGTCATTTGCTCAAGTTCCTGACCCTATATAACGCCAAGGCAACATGCTCACATTCCAGAAATAAAAGCCTCACTCTGGATTTCAAGTAATTAACGCGGTCGATAGTTTTTTCATATGTATATACTGATGTTTATTCAATCACAGTAATGGATCGGGGCTCGGATTGAGGAATAAGATAGCCGAGTTCGAATTCCAGTCGAGTTTATTACATTCACTTCTGTGCTATTACCCTGAGTTCTATAGTCTTGGCTGGCAGCCAGACTAGGAGAAAGAAAACTCTATATTCAAACCTGCCTGGAGTGAGTTGGAATTCGACAGGCTGTCTTGTCCAAGACACACCACTTCTTGAGCGGCTGCAGTACAGATTGTGCCCCTACGGCCTAATAGATTACGGGAAACTTGATTGTGATCGTTTACACAATACAAGGCCTAAGAGGTTTATGGTGGTCAGATAACGAATGACACTGGACTGGAAGTGGTTATGGTTGTAGTGTTCGGTGAAACATCGACGCGGGTAGCTGTTCCACAATGTAGTAATTCTGGATTTCTGCAGGACAGAACCTGAATAAAAGACATGTATCGGCAAAAGAAGGCATTTTTGAAACTCAACGACGTAAAATGACGGAAGGCAATGTTATTACGTAATGCACTTTCCGTTTTGTATTTCCAATGATCTGTGAGTTTTGTTTTCGTTAATGTCTCCGTTTCACACCCCTGCTTTATCGGTAACATTCTATTTTTTTCAGTCTACGCTTATAATATCCCATGAACGGTCGCCGCTGATATCTCTCGTTTTCGCTTCGTCTAACTGTCGTTCACTGTCCCAGCCCTATCAAAAACGTAGTATTCTTAACGTCGTTGCTTGCCGCTGTTATTTTCACGACCATCGACAACAGCAAGCTGGGAGGTAACCAGATTGCACGAGGATTTCGCCCAGTCGTCGTAATTCTGCGAAGATTTCAGGTGTGGAATCTTCTCAGCCGTGGTAAGTTCTTTGCTGAAAACTAATTTCAAGTCTAAATAAACTCTGTCGAAAGCTAATAATGGGTTTAATGATAACAAACTGAAGAATTTCAAAGTATTTAAGAAGTAAAGTATTATATTTTTTATATAAACTGGTTGACGATCTTTCAGCAGGAATATTATTCTAGCATTAATATGAAATGAATGGAGAGACCTCATAACAGCAACGGGAAAAATGGGGATATAAGAAAGAACCTATATATTTGATGATTTTTCCATCTGTTTAAGCGTTAAAAATGACGTCATTTTAAATTGATTCCAATTTCAATTCCAGCAATTTAAAAAGGCCACAGTGTAGTCGCTTACAGTAATGATGACACCGATTTTTGACAATGACAGTGATAGACATAAGTACTTGAATATAACAGAAAAAAAACTATGAACGTCGTTCAATTTATTCATAGCTTCAGTCGCAATATATAACACCTCATCCGGAAAATGAAAAGTTATGAGATGAATATAAAAACCATGTCGATAAAATTCTTTAAAAATTTGTTTGAATACATTTTTGCTGTCTAAAGAGACATATATATATATATGATTGGTGACTAGAATAGTTGTATATTTTCCACCAGTGCCAATAGTTAGTTTCCAAGTCCAAACAACTGTTCAGGGATTGTTTTTCTATGAAAACAGACTGGTTCTTCGGGTCTCAATGATTGGCGCAATACAATCTTTCCTGTTACCTTATATATTATTTTATCATCAATGTTTGCAATATATATATATATGGGGCGTGCATACAAGTCAAAAACCTCATGAAAGAAGGAAATATTTGTCCGAATGCATTCTTCATTATTGATATATATGTGTGTGTGTGTTTAAATATGCGAGCATATAGACAGATATCACGTGAGCCATGCTTGAGTGCTCAAATAAACCTCTTAATTTTTCATTACGTCCAGAATATTTATCGCAAATTTCAGAGAACAGCGTCAGGAGAACCTACCTACATCCTTTGAACGAGGTACTTGGATATAACGAGTTTAAATTCCTAATGGTGTCGCCTCATGCAATTAGATGTTTGTTCGTTTCTTGTTTTGGCATTTATTACTTTCTTGCAAATAGTAATCTTATTATATAGATGAATTTTTACGGATTTCCAAATATTTTGATATATTATTTAAATTTATTTCTTTTTGTTTGGTTTGACTATTTTTTTTTTCATTCTATTTCATTACTTTTTTTCCTGCATTACTTAAAACGAAACGAAAACTGCTTTGACGTAGATGATTGCTAGCTTTCTTTTCTTTTCTTTAACCAGATGACGCGTTGCAAAAATGTCTGCACAATATGAAAGGTTCGATCAAATTCAAAGGTACAAATGAGATTTCACTTTCACGGCTTATTTTAATTAGATTTTGCGTTCATGGTAGTTTACATAAGACTCTTTTTTCCATTTTTTTTTTGTTTTTTGGGGTTTTTTTTTCAAATTTCTTCCATGTTTTTTTTATCCGCAAGGTTCTTTCTCCATGTGTTTTTACTCGCAATATTCTTTCATGTCTTTATCCAGAAGGTTCTTCCTACATGTTTTTTTAATATCCAGAAGGTTCTTCCTACATGTTTTTTTTTAATATCTGGAAGGTTCTTTCTACATGATTTTTATATCCAGAAGTTTCTTCCTACATGTTTTTCTAAATCCGCAAGGTTCTTCCTACATATTTTTTTGATCCATAAGGTTCTTCCTACATGTTTTTTATTCGCAAGGTTCTTTCGGCATGTGTTTTAGCTGCAAGGTTCTTCCTACATGTTTTTGCACAAGATTCTTCAACATGTTTTTCCCCAGTAATATTTTTCCTATATTGTGGTTTATTTTTGCAAGGTTTTTCCTACATTTTATTCGCAAGTTTCTAACGAACACAAGCCGACAGTAACATCTGAAGAGTAGAGTATCATCAAAAGATTACTTTACACTAATGACAAAGTAAAAAAAAAAAAAACCCTCTTCTCAATTACTCAATCTTTCTGAAAGCCATGAACCCAAAGTACTCAGAACAGCATCTCTGTCCTAAAAGAGATGGAACAAAAGAAAAAGAATGATAAAAAGCATAAAACTGTGATCAGAAACTTTAGGTTATGTTCGAATACTGTGGGTCTGTCAAGTTGAAGATAATTTTCAATGAAAAACGGAAGAAATCAATCGATTCAGTGTAAATTTCTTTCCGGATATTGGTTTCGTTTCATCGGCAAGCCTTTGGCTCTCACAGCCTTCGTTATTGCTTTGTATTGGCTGCTGCGTGTACATCCTGTTTCGCAGGAAACATAGCTCAGTGATCAATTTAGCTAAACGAGTAATGGAGATCTCTTAATGCTGGGCGTCTCCTCTTTTAGATAGTGTCTACTTTCTCCTTACATGTTTCACTCCCTCGTTTTAACATTCCTCCTCCCGATTTCCCCCCCTCTCTCTCTCTCTTTCCGGGCAGTGACGTCATTAACAAAGTAGCCAATGGTCGTCAAGTACAAGTTTACACAAGATGACTGCCCGGTCGGACAAACGACCGACCGGTCACCTGTTTAAGTGAATCATTTATTTTAACTTCTATCATATTAGAGACATTTCATCATTTAACGCGTAAGGACTTGGTTTTCATTATGAAGCACTTGCTGGCAACTGTATATTGATCACAATCCAAATCCTTGACTACACGCTATTCTGTCATTTGATGGTTTCTAAGTCGGGCTGAGCCAAGAAGTAAATTTCGCTTTGGGGATTTTGTGGCTGTTTTAATAGTCTAAATAACATCAAAAGAGGTTGGAGAAAAGAATAAAGTAACACTGTGAGATCACTGCATATTTTATACATGACTTTTTTTCCCGGAAGACTGAAAGGCAACAACGAAAGCCCGGGTTACTAGGAAATAAGTTTACGACGCATCACTGTTATTGCCGTGCCTGTTTGTTTTATCTGATAAGGCTTATCAGGCATAAATTTATTGGAACAAGAGGTATTTCCAACTAGACCGAGTGGAGATTTTCTGTTTAGAAATAAAATGGTAGTGCATTCGTAGGTATATTTCCAAATTGGTCTTTGTTTATTCCTTACAATTTGCAAAACACAAAAAAGTCGTAATAAAAGCAACTGAGTTATCATTTTAAATATATTTACATAAATACGTTAATATTTTATAAGTCATACATATTACCACTGAAACCAGAACTCTTTGTAGCTAGTTGACAGAGGTATTGACAAGGGTACTTGACTAATCAATAAATTTTCAAGGGAAACATTTTGCAAGGTATTCAAACACTTGCTGTTTAGGGTGTGACGATACAGAAGGCGCTTATCTCCCTTTGGTGGAGATAAGTCACGTGGGTCACATGAATGCCGCTTATTGACGTCACTCCATACAGTGATGAAATTGGCAGCCATTTCTTTTTCAGCAGCCAACCAGAAAAGTTGCTTCCCATGACCCGGGCAGAGGCTAAATCTGCCTTTCCAGCGGCTTACAGGTCCATGGTGCCGTTTCCCTTAGGGAACTTATCTTTCCTAGATATAGAACGAAACTCCAGCATGCTATTTTCCCGTTCGTTGAATACGTCTTTGCCTGGAACATAGATGAATCTGGTCCGTTTGAATCTTGAATCCTAAACATGTCTTCTCCGGACACACCATATTATATGTTAGACCCTTCCTTTTTGTTCTCCTTACACTCTCCTTTGCTCTGGAGATATATGTGATATATTATTCTACGCGTGGGACATCTCTCTCTCTCTCTCTATCTCTCTCTATATATATATATATATATAGCTTTATCTATGTCTTAGTAATATAGAAGTCTCTCTGAGAACAAAATATGTTTGTCATTCATTTTCCTATCATCCGTTCCGTTATATCACGTATATAATAATGCTCATAATGGGGGAAGTCCAAATTGGAGAATAAATCTTTTTTTCCCTAGCTCTCTCCTGTTACAAGGCGTAGACTTTTTAGGTTTGGAAGGTGTTGTGTATTGAATTGATTGAAATAACTAACGGGATTAAAATGAAGTATAAACATTAATCGGGAAAGTTTACTGGAGGCTTTTTTGCAGGATAATTAATGAAAGATTGCGGATTTTTTAAATTCCCTCTGCGCATGCTTCCAGTTTTTCCTTCCTATTTTTTCGCGTGCCCAAAGGCTGAAAGGAGTATCTGCTGCTAATAGTATTTTTAACGTACAGACGTCTGTTTAAACAGCATATAGCATTTGTTATACTTAGCACTGCACTAACGGAGTGTAAAATAAATTTTAGCATTTTGCATTCGAAGAAGAATGTGGAAGATTTAATTTCTGTAAGCTTTCTTTCACGTTTGTAGATTCGTTTTCATCGAATCTGTTAAAGATTTTGTTACATTTTCCCAGTTCACGTCTAATTTGTCTCACATCCAGATCAAATTCGTGAATGAATTATCCAAAATTCATGTTTTTTTGTTTTTTTTAGTAATTTCAACTGTAAGTTTCAGAGTTTACGGCCATATCACGTTGAAACAACGTTTCTTGTCCGATCACCGAAGTTAGGCAACGTCGAAGGTAGTCTGTACTTAGATGAGTGACCGCTTGGAAATAGCAGGTGCTGTTATCGGGAATATGAATGATACCAGTGACATAGGGAAAATTTTTTATAAGCTTCATCCTGACTTTTTTAAGAACGTAACATTTCTAATTGAAATATACGTGTATCTAATTAAATTACGTCATTTGCGAGATTTTTAAAAATTCGTTTGCTGTTCACAGAATTAAACAGCACCTGATATCATTACCGTATGTACTCGTGTAGAAGTTGAAGTCATGTATATTGAGATCCGTGAATTTGGGGGGGGCATAAATTTTAACCCCTCCAGAAAACAATTCCTGTGTACAATGAAAACAGGTCACCGCAAATGTGTGATGTTTAAACTCTTCAAAAAATTAACTGTGTATAGTGTGCCCCCCCACCAACTTTTTTTGCGTAATGATCACAAAACCCGCATTATACTTGAATATATACGGTACATTTTTCGACAGATTTTAAAATGCGGATTTTCAAAAAATCTTTCGAAGTAGGCTCGTGCCAAAAAATGCCCGTAGAACACGTATAAACTTTTGGAGGATGGATCGGGTTAATCAACCTCCCCGAACGAGACTCTGCCCTTCGGCGGAACCTCGTCCGGGTTCAAAAAGACTGAACCGGACGATCTGCTCAGAGGCAGGCGGAGAGTTTCGACCGTCAAGCCAAGAAGCTCGGCTCGATACAAAATGCAAAATTATCCAGTTTAGGACCAAGGAAGACCAACCGAGGGTTGAAATAATAATACAAGATGGAATGGCAGTCTGGTTTGGAGTGAACTAAGGCCGAGATTTTAAGCCCCCTCCCCATGGGTTTCCCGGGCCCGTATGGGCTCGGCCAAAAATGCCCGTAGAACCCGTATAAACGAGATCAGGTTGGTCAACCTCCCCGAACGAGACTCTGCCCTTCGGCGGGCGGAGCCTCGTGCGGGTTCCTTTCTGCTCAGAGGCAGAGGTTCGACCGTCAAGCCGAAGACCCCCTCGGCTTGATTCGGGGCTCAGAGGCAGATCGTAGCCACCCTAGCCACCCCCGAGGGTTGCATGTGGCACAAGGCCGAGTTTTACGTGGGTTTCCCGAGCCCATAGGCTTGGCAAAAAAAATGCCCGTAGAACCCGTACAAATGGGATCGGGTTGGTCAACTTCCCCGAACGAAACTCTGCCCTTCGGCGGAGCGTCGTCCAGGTTCCTCTCTGCTCAGAGGCAGAGAGTTCGACCGTCAAGTCGAGAAGCTCGGCTTGAATCGACACTCTCTCTTGAGAGGCGTAGTATCCATAGTGTTAGGAAGAGTTCATTCTGTAGTTGTAGGTGAGGACCCATGACACTCACTTAGTTGTGGTAATAGTTAATTAGGTAGACAAAAAGTCTACATTACTCTTTCAGAATATACAAGGTCTGTCTAAAAAGTAACGGAATGACGTATGCTGTGTGAGCTCTGGGCGAAAGTGGGATTAGAGGATTCTGTTATCCTTTAACATGATATATATAACTGTAATCATAGCGTTTGCTTCGCTCGGTGTGCGAGAAGAGACGAGAGTTGTGGCAGGACAAATCATGGCTTTTACACCACGACAATGCGTCTATTCACAACGCCCTGAGCATCCAGCCGTACTGGAACAACCTCCCTATTCACCTGATCTTCCTCCGTGTCACTTTTTTCTTTTCCCAAAGCGTAACGGGATTATCAAGAGGGCCGTAACGACGGAGCGAAGGGATATCGAAGGTGAATCCTTCCATCAGTGCATAGAAGTGTGGTAGAGACGGATGGAAACGTGCATTAGACTCGAGGGTGATTATTTGAAGAGGAAGCCATGCCGTTTGTTGTTTGGAATTGAAATACATTGCTTGCCACACAAATCACGTTACTTTTCAGATATAATTGTGAAATTATATTTAAGTCATTTCCCTTTTTTATGGAACTTCAAATGTCATGTCTAGTGGCTTGAATAGACATCCCTGTTTTTTTTTAAGCAGTGTAAATTTACGTTTAGTGGTCTGTGCATTTGAGTTTTAATAAAGCGTATTAAAGTGTATTTTCCCAAATAAGACACAAAAATGAAAAAAAAATGAACAGTATTATTACTGAAACCATTTTAAAAGAAACAGGAAATGTCTTTCTCTTTTGTTTTACGACCATCAATATACAAGTGATTGTTTATTATTATCATTATTGTTATTATAATTATTATTATTATTATCATTCAACTTGGCTCTACACAAATATATTACTAATTACATCGGAAAAAACAGCAGTTGGGCTTTTGTGTTGCAGGTTTACGCCGGGAATTCATATGTGTAGAAAATCCATAAAATAAGCATGTTTTTGTTTCTTTCTCCTGTTCGTTTTTTTTTATTTTCGATGGATGAAAAACTAATAATCGATAGGATTATCACCGGATCGTTTGTTGAATTTATTTTTCGCCAAACTGATTTATGGCGTGTGGGTCCGTGTGTGAAAGCAAAAATTAAGAACTTGGAAGAAGACTTGTTAAGGTGAAGAAACTCTCTTCTTGTGTGTCATCTCCTGTGCGTAAATACATGTACATAAATACATTCATGTATTTGTTTGTGAGTGCAAAAGAGAGAGAAAGAGAGAGAAAGAGAGAAATATGTGTAAGATACGCAGAGAGAAAAGTATGATCTCATATTTTTAAAATGAACAAGTCGTGAAAGTTAGTTCAACAACGAAGTTCATCATCATCATATGCCGATTGGGCGGATTGTCATGATTCTTTCCCTCCAGTCTTCACGATTGGTCCTCCCACCTGGTAGGTCTCAAGCTTAGAAGCCTGTGTCTTCACAGATTTGCTTAATGTATGTTTTGAACAGACGCACCGTGCTAATGTGTCCACGCTTCTTTTTTTTTTTCATTTTATTTTTTTTGTCCACAACATTACCTTACTTATAAGCTCGTCCTTATTTTCCAAGAATGCCCGGCAAATTTTGTTCTCTCCCGAATGGTCTTTCCTATCTTCCACGGCCACCTGGCCATAGATCTGCTTTCTTGCAGAGTCCTTCTTCCAGATTAGATCTTATACAACACTTAGTATTATCCTTGTATATTTACCATCTAGCATTTTCCAATCGCTTTGTCAATGCTCATATAACGCTATGTTTGAGAAAGAAAATTGTGGCTATGACTTGGAAGGAGGGCCGTTTCATTTTATCCAGTCTACTGTACATATATATATATATATATATATATATATATATATATATATATAAAAAATGACAATTGGAAAAAAATTCTTAGTTCTTGCCAACGCGTTTCGTCTTCCGACTTTATCAAGGCAAGCAACGAAAATTTTGTTGTCATAGTTACATCAAATCAAAAATTTTAAAAATGAGATGCTCCTGCATAAGCCTCTTTCTGGATATTTGTAACTTCCTTTTTACTGAGAATTTTTTTTTTAATTTCCCAGAATTATTCTGAAGTTAAGACAAATTGATATAAAAATGATAATATATAAAAAAAATACATACGTACATAAAATAGTTGCTGTCGACTCACAAAGCAAGTATGACCATCACTGACATGTCCAGTCCATCAATTAAGCTCTCCCCCCACACACACACAACACTGCATTCATTTGTTGTGTGAATGACAGTGGCTCATAAATCCAGCCATTGATCTGAATTTCTTGTTATATATATGGCATGTCAAACCATTTCCGGGTGATGGAAGTTGATTTTGAATATCATCACTTCCGATGTGTCTTTTTTCTATACCTTGTCAAGCCCGACCTGGATTTGCACACTCTAGTGCAGGTCAGGCATTCAAAGCATACAAATATGAAATCGTCATCTGCAACAGACTGTTGGTGTGATTTCTGGTGACTGAGCAGACCTGCTTTGGACAGACATATCCGATCGCATTGGGCACATGGCCAGGTTGATACCTCATGGCAATTCAGGGATCCTTTCCGAACCCCTCTTTTCCTTTCTACATATTTTTGTAATGCCTCATGGAAGATATTGACGCCATCAGCAATACCAGCTCTCCAAGATACCCGGGCTTCAGCTAGTCTCCCAGTTAACAAGACCAGTATTGCACTTTCATAGTGACATATATATATATATATATATATATATATATATATATATATATATATATATATATAGAGAGAGAGAGAAGTACAATTGACGGGATACTCAATTATATTTATGTAATTTTTGGGACAGCCTCTTAACTATCTAGGTGTCCGTATGAAGTCGTGGAAAGACAGTAATATCTGAGTATTTTTTTCTAGCATTTCCGACTGCTTGATGATAATATAACGAATCGAACTGGAACTAGCCTCTTCGACTAACAATTCAAAGCCATTTTCCATTACACCACCCTTACAGCTAAGCTTGCAGCACCTGGTATTCACAAGCGGTCACCCATCTAGTTACTGACCATTCTCGACGTTGCTTAACTTCGGTGATCGTACGGGAACCGGTATTTCAACGTGATGTGTCCGTCAGCCGATCATGATCCTGAGTCCCGTCACACTTTAGTTATAAATACACCACTGTATTGGAACTGTAGCTACAGTGGGTGTAACTGAGGCAAGATATCTTGAGGGATACTGCCCTCTTCTCGTCGACTAATTTCCCCTAGCAAGGATAAAGTGCCCGTTCTACCCTACCATTTAACTCCTAGCTGAATGAAGACTGATCCATGTCCTTAACAAGGCCGCCAGGGCCAACTAAATGAAAATGGGCGGTCAGAAGTCGAACTTAGCAGTCTAGTCAGAAGCTTACGAGATAAGTAATGTGATACAAACGGGTGATCTTATGATTGATGCTTAATGAGATATTTAGGTTACCACCAGCAAGCTTGTATTTTATGCCTCAACCTAACAGCAATCAAGTATATATGATATGAAAGTTTTCTTTTCCAGCGACCACCGTCAATCGATATGTTTGAAAATAATTTATGCATTATATGCATTAAAGAACAGTTGATGTACCCTGCAATGATAAGTACAACAGGCTATGAACTATCTTATGTTTTGGTTGTTGCCTTTTATTAAACGTCACATTATCAAATA